GGGGGGTTCCTTAGCATATATGTGTGTTTATTCGGAGAGTGCATTTACATGAACCTTTGCAAAGGGAGGAAGGGAAGCACTCATCTCATCTCATTGCCTTGATATTCTAGTGATCTCCCTTTGGGGTGGGGAAGCCACTTTGGCCTATAATGCGACGACACGTGACTGTTTTAAGAAGGATTTCCCGACTGTGGTTAAGAATACAAAGGCATTGAATGGGTGGTGGAGGGGGGGGGAGAAGAAAGACAAGACTTAATGTAATGATATAATGCACCATAAAATGTCAGGAACAGATAGCCTAAAAGGAAACTGTTGATGATAGTCATTATAGAAACGACGCCCCAGCCACATGGCTTTCCAAGTGACCACCCCTTAGCGTAAATTCACGAACACCAGAATCATAGGTCCCTACATTAAGAGAAACGTTTCTCTTGTGATTCGTTGACCAAGTACGTTATACGTTCTTCGAGCGCAGAAGGCTTACTTGACTAATTTTTAATCCTACAGAGGCCTTAGAATCTAGTGCTTTACAGCATTCGCGCGTGTTGCGCATCATAGGTCAAGGTCTAACTAAACATTACATGCAGTCCCCCAAACACAAGTCAGAAATCTTCTCTCAAAGATGCATTCCCAGAGACAAATCAAAAAAAATTTCTAACTTCTCTTTGTCAAGCTTTACCTGTCGGCGTGTTTCGTGGATCGGAGCGTACGTGTTTAGAGGGAGTGACCATGCGTTTGTACATCTAAATTATATAGTATAGTTTTTTAAAAACGCCAGATGACAAAAGTGTGCGTTTGAGCGGAGCGTGCTTTTGAATGCCAGAGTGCATTTAGGCGGAGACTACACATAGCAGTACTCTAGAAGGAGCTTGCCATAAAACCGACGATTATATGTGAAACATTATTCATTATATATTATAATATATATATATAATAGAATCTAGATATCTGAACGAAACATTTTTTTTTGGGGGGGGAAAGGCAAATTACGGTTTACCCCCAGTATTAGATCTAGTACCGGTACTGGGTTGGCTACCTCAGTTTCCTATACTGTACATTTTTAAAACTTTGTATCGGTTTATATTTTCTTAATAAAACTGGTTTGTTCCTAAAAAATGAGAAAAGTTACACACAGTAACTTACAAAATTTCGTGATCTCTTTTTGTTCTTTTATTCACTTAAAGAGAAACCAAAACAGATTTATTTGTCCCTCCTAGTACAAGGCTGACAGGGGTATGAGGCCGAATGTGCCCCCCCTTCAAATCCAAGACAAACTGAACTATTCAGCAATGGGGGGGGGGGGGGGGGGGGA